AAAAAAAAAATTATTCAAATGTTAGTTCAATTATTTTTTACTGCATTATTTGCAACCCTGATCGCTAGTACTAGGATTAAAAATTCAAAAGTTAGTTTTAATAAAGATTTTCGGGATTGCAAAAAAAAAAATTATTCAAATGTTAGTTCAATTATTTTTTACTGCATTATTTACAACCCTGATCGCTAGTACGATATGCCGTAATTCAAACTTTTCTGATCAGCTTGCATACTTTTTGGCGTGCCAGGCATTGTAAATAATTATAAAAAGAAGGTTTCCTTTACTAAATTTTTTTTCTTAAAACTTATTTAATTAAAATCTAAAAAATTTCAAATAACCTAAATTTTTTTTCTTAAATCTTATTTATTGTAATTAAAATCTAAAAAATTTCAAATAACCTAAAAACAGTTTTCTTCAGCAATTTTTACCGCTATTAGTAAGTTATTTTTAATAAGTATTGGTTTTGAATGTCTTTTCTTTACTAACATCCTTACCACTTTCACTACGCTCACTTGCACCACATTTTCATGTCCACCAACTATATGCTGGCGAGTGTGTGCGACCCTTCAACTTACGTCAACTAACTCGAAGCCATTTAATTTTGCCTTTTAATTTCCAAGCACTGATTTTTATCTCTTTTATCCCACATACCATACTAACCTAACTGCCAACCATAAACCACTAATCGCCTGTCCAAGCGCCTAACCAACATTTAGTTTGCACTTCCTTCCGCACGTCTACCACTCACCACAAAGCTTCTTTCATTTAACCATTCACTGATTCCCATTATGTGGCGCAATAAATTTGTTTTCCTCGGCATTGGACATACTTCATCATTCATTGTTTGTCAAATGCCTTTCAATTGAATTCTTTTCTTATCTCTATGCCGCCTTTGTGTGACGCTGTCTTCTGCCGTGTCCTCATCCTACCAACCATAATGCCGCTAATGTCGCTGCTGTTGACGACAATGATGACACCGATGACGTCGATGCCGCCAATGTCCATCGACAATTACTCATATATGCATATATATAAATGTGTGTGTGTGTGTGTAGGAACGTCCGCCGCCCGTGCCGCCGTCACGTGGCTACACCATCGCTGGCAGCCTGAAGCTGAGCTATCCGCAGAGTCGCATCATGAAAATGAATTTCCCCGAGGATCCACCCATCGTTAATCCGGCCGAACAACAGCTGCAGCAACAGTTGAAGAAGGGTGAAGCTGTCAGCGTTGTGGGCGCATCATCGTGTCGCGGACACTTGATTGTCGAGCACAAAGGTCAGAGTTACCACGTACCGTTTCAGTATATGGAGTTATTGCGTCCGTCTATGCCAGCTGGCAGTGTGGTTGTTGCTGGTGGTGGCGGCAGTGGTGGCTGCGGTGTGACCAATAATCCAAATAATGCTACTAGTGTTAAAAACAACAACAATAGCAACAATATGGCTAATAAAAATAGCAGCAGCACTGGCAATTTGACTAACAATTGCAATGGCAATAACAATGTTGGTGTAAATAACGGTAATAACGGCAACGCGAACAACAACAATGCCAGCAACACCTCGGCAGCTGTCAAAATTTGAAGAGGCGACGCGGGTAGTGCTCGCCAATTGACGAGTGCGACAGTTGGCAGTGCAGCTGCGACCACCAAAACAAATCATAACGGTTTCCGCGGCAGCGGGATTTCACTGTGCGCATGGCAATGCATATCCGTTGTAGAACTTATGCGGCTGCAATATCATAAAAACCGCTTTTTTCGTTTTATTACACTGACATATTAAGACTGTAAATATATTTTGTAGATTCGTGCACTTGTGTGTATACTAACAGACATGCATACGTGTAAATTAAGTGGGGAGGACGCATAAAGCATAATATAATTTATAAATGGTATAATAAATTAAAAAATAATTAAAAATTAAATAAATATAAAACAATAAAAATTAATAAAAAACAAAATAAATTACAAATAGTAATAATAATAATAAATAAATAAATAAACAAATTGAAAGTATTATATATAAAATAACCGGTTAATACACAAGACAAAAACTAAAAATTAAAATAAAAAATTATTAAAATATATCAAAATAACACTTATAAAACGGAGGAATATATATAAACCAACTAAAAAAAATTTAATAAATGAGATATAAAAATATATGTATGAAGTAATGACCACTCAAGTGAAAAAAAAATAATTACAAATATTTTTTAAATAAATTCAAATAACTAAAAATACTTTTAATAATAAAAATGACTTTTAATAATAAAAATTGAAGAATTAAAAAGTATTCAGCTTAAGTTAAAATATTATATTTTGAAAATATAAAAGTTTTTTGTCAAAATATCAAAGTAATAGCATATTTCAAAACCAGCAAAACAATAAAATTTTAAAAAGTAAAATTATGAAATAATAATAATTAAA